TAGGGTTTCGGATAGGTGCGGAAGCGCGACCACTATGCACAGTCTGCTTGCAGGCTAAGCATGCGACCCCGTTTGCGATTTGGTGCTCGACAATCTTGTCGTATGCCTCGAGACCGTATCACATACAGCCTACTGGCACATCTTGACGGCTCCACCAGGGAAAGACGACTGCAGAGACGACGTTGCTGATAACTTGGAAACGGCCCCACCCAGTCACTGTCTATAACGGGGTCTTATGAAGGGCAATGCGGCTATATCTAGATATTCAGGATATAATATTTTATGCATCATCCAACTGTTACTGGAGGGGGGAGTACCCAACTGATAACACTGAATAATTGCATAAGTGGTTTGAAAGAGATCAGAAGCACTATTGGCAGTCTCCATACATATGGGGGCCCCAACATACTATAATCCTTTTCAGTTGGACCCCCGACAAGGGACCCTAATGTTGGGAACCCCCAATGGGAACAGTCATAGCAGCAGTCATCTGTGATGCCCATGATGCCAGAAGCGCAGGGATGAGAGCAGCACCCATCATGTAATAGAAGCATCGGCACCATTCACCTCTATGCTCCAATGGTAATACGCAGTAACGTAGAACATAGTAAAACCCTAAACCCTAAACCCGGTGAAATGGTACCAGTGCTAAACTAGAGCAATAGCAATCGTAGCAAGAAACCCAATGCACCCTCAAGCCACACCTCTAGGTCGACCGATCCATCCGGAAGGTAAGGCGTCTTCACGGCTGTGATGAGCCGAACCTGTCAAGAGAGAGGTTTGCGCGATGACATCAGTTGTGTACATCAAGATTGAGAAGCCATTACATGACCCATGTTTTCATGTTTGATTCCAGGCTCTTCATCATGGGGGTAGATATAGGGACCCCTAGAACACATTGGCATGCTTTGGGACTAGGATGCGAATTTTGGGGTCGATGCAAGGAGATGATGTTAGCTATCATTTTGAGAAGGAGCCATATTAGCCATATTCTAAACTCCTAGTATCCCCAGCAGTAATCCCTATAATACTACCTATAGAACCCCCATATACCCCCCCTGTAAGGTTTAGACTCTCGCCCCTATCCCCCCACCCCCACCTTTCTCAATGCGAGGGTTGCCTCCGACATGGCTCTGACAATGCAAGCGGCTGCTGTGGGCTGGAGATGGGCAGCAGGCGATCCATGGTTTGTCTCAATTTAAGGGATAATGGAAAAATGGAAACTACTATATAGTATCTTGGGGTTATATAAGGATAATGGAAAACAAAATGGAAACTACTATATAATCTATTGGGAAAATGTAGGGATAATGAAAATGAACATGGAAACTACTACACAGTATATTTGGGGTTATGTAGGGATAAGGGAAAACAAAATGGGATCTACTATAAGGATACTTCTGGGCACGTTAGATATGGATGTATAAATAGAAGGATTTTGAGGAGGGCAGGGGGGGGAGGGGCCTTGAAGAATCATTTTAAAAACCTTTCCACACTTGCGACAGGCGCGGGGGGCTGCACAAAAGCTAGTCTGAGATGCAAGATGAGAAGTGCAAGTACTGTAGCGGCTTAAACCATTCCTATAGGGTTTTGGGTCTTCGTGTTTAGGGGTTTAGGGTATCTTACACATTAGCCATACTTGCCTCCAGGGGGATTAACACTGACACATATTCAGGCTCTACCTACCGACAAAATGAATCTGAAGCTCTGGAAATGCTTCTTGGACAGAGATTGGGGGTTACTCCCCAATGCGGTGCCCTTCGGGACTTTCGCTGCAAAAGAAATTGCAAAGAGCTTGTTGGATATCCATCCATGAAGTATTCTATCGTAGCAACTTTGGGAAAAACATGAGCTGTAGTCTAAAGTCCTGGTATCCCACTGAATAACCCCTATAACACTCCCCTATAGCATCCCCTATATATTCCCCTTTAAGGAGTTTACCCTAAACCCTAAACTCAAAACCCCTAAACCCTAGACCCCAAACCCTATATAAACCTCTAAACCTCTAAACCCTAAACCCCTAAACCCAAACCCTAAACCCCTAAACCCTAGACCCCCAACATGGTGAGGCGCCTGTTTCTTTAAATTGGAAGCGTGAGTCTGGTCTCATCCACCTTGCCCGCAAAGCTGCAAGCTTGCCGGGTCGAAAACTGAGTTGCTGTCATGGAACTTAAACTAAGCTAAATAATAGGGGTATACGGGGTCTAGGGTTTAGAGTATTTAGGGTTTGTCGGGTTGAGGGTTACTGCAATGAGGGAACCCTATCATTTACTACTATAAAGCCCTAATACTTAACAGCAACCCAGAAGAGTTAGCACGTTGGAGGGTCCAGGGGGATGCGCTTCATGCAGACGGCGTGTCTGAGTTGGTGGGACAGATTCTCTTTGGGTTTAGGGTTTAGG